GAGACGATTCAATTATTTTTATTTTATTGTACAAGCTTTCTTTGTGAGTTCAGAATCGATTTTATTGACTTCTCCTAATTTTTCTTAATAATCTCCCATATCTGTAGATGGGAGATATTTAAGAAAAATTAATATGAGGGGTATTATACTTATAGAGACTAAAACAATATTTTTTAGAAAATTCGTCTATCTGTCTGCATGTTTGTACCGGCATCATGCAAAAACTATTGCTCTGAATTGGTTTTCACAATTCCTGAAGGTCAAGCTTAAAAACTGGCGTTTGTTTTATTTTGATACGCCATCTCTAAGTGATCTACCTCACTGGTTTTTTTATATCCGTACAAAGAAGGGGGGAAAAGCTAGTAATAAATATAATACTAATATATATTATTTAATACTGATAACACCATTATGTACAGTAACTACCAATCAATTTCTATCAATTCACTTAATCATTTGCAAGTTTTCTGGGGAAAATACAGTTATAGAGTAACCAAATATTTTTTTTTTCCATTATCACCTATTTTAGTTCCTTTTCTACATTAAAACTTTTTTGTAACTCCTTTAGTAATGTGTAAATAATCCTTACTAATATTATAAATATGAAATTGAGTTTGTTTCTTTGATGCCTTCTAGGATCTCAATGATTTGACCAATCACTATGAAATTTGGTATACATGTATTATATGTAATGAAGAATAGGCTACTTTTTATCTCAATTAGTAAATATATCCCGGTTATGCGGACGAAGTCGTAGGTAAAAGCTAATAAGTAAATGAAGCTTTTTTTACAATATCAAAATATATATAAAAAGCAATAGTAGATCATTCGAATGATATTAATCTATCGTCCGAAATTTTTTATTAAATTCCAGTTCAAATCTTAGCTCAAATCCTCTAAATTCTCATTGCTTGGTTCATCATCATCTTCCCGTCCTTATTTCAATTATTTTGGGTCAGCCTAATATGATTTTATTTATATTACATGAAGGCTTTAGGTTTTACGATCGGCCGTCTGTCTGACATCAACTCTTCTTGGGAATGCATTTGTGGATGGTATTCGCCATGTAGATATGAATGTGTGGAGAAGAGATTGAGTAAAAAGAGGAATTGAGTAAAGGAAGTTGGTAAAAAAGGAATGACAATTCACAATATCGTCTATAATATTGTCGCCGAAAATGAAAGAAATTTTGCTAACATATTATATCGTAACGATATAATTGTACGATATTGTACTGAGCTGCAGCAAATTATAAAAGTGATTAATGTAAGCTATCTTCATATAATGGAATTATACATTTATTTATATTTGAAGTATTATCATCATCATCATTATACCAGCCGTTCACAGTTTACTGCTGGACATAGGCCTCCCCTATAAAGAGGAGTTTTGCCAGTAGTTGCCATACTTGACAAGTGGGTTGGTAAACGTAATTAGACTTTTGATTATGTTTTAAGACGGATGCTGCTGCCCATCCCTCGACCATTAAGTTCCCTTAGTCGCCTATTACGACACATACGAGAAAGAAAGGGGTAGTCCATTCTATTCTGGGACCACACAGCAATTTGAAGTATACAGAGCATATACTTACAAGCGTTCCAGAAAATTTCAATTAGGCGCATTCCACAAGAATGCAATTTTCATTGTTTAGATTGTTCGCGTTATATGGAAAAGATTGCTTAAAACAATTCTTATTCTTGCCTTTTATAGCAGACTTCTAGGAATAATCTTAAGATAGATATATAAATAAATAAATATATATGTATTCGTTTATTTTCAAAATGAAATAAGTAATTTCAATAAAAAAAAATATAGGCTGGTAAAAGCGATCGCCTTTTGAAAGTCGCCTAAAAAGTGGGTAATGTAATGACCCAATTCACAAATCTACAAACAGCATTGAATGTGTCATCACATATTGTGTAATGTTCTTAGAATGAAGACAAATCTCTCGACATTTCATTTATTATCAAGCTCTTCGAATACTAAGAGGATGAACTGTCTCGCATTCTCATTCAATATGAATAAAGTATCAGAATGTTTATATACATAATAAAAAACGATATATTTATGCGACACAGAATGTTTTTGATATTTATAAATGTGAAAGTTGATAAATATATTTGTATGTTTGTTACTGTATGTAAAAATGTCTTTTTTTATACCACTGAGATGGAAATCAAGCGTACGGCCCACTTGATGGTAGGTGTTTACCGTAGCCTATAAACGCCTGCAATACCAGGGGTATTATGCGCGCATTGTTGACCCTGAAGATACCTCTTTACGCCCCTTTTGAAGAACCCCATGCTATAGTTTCTCAGAAAACCTCAGCAAGGAGTTTATTTCATAACCTGAGTGTTCGTGGTAGAAAACATCTCTGAACTGCGTTGTATGTGACCATTTAGGCTGTAGAATATGAGGGTGAACACTCTGTCGATGGCGAGCCGTACGACGGTAGAAAATAGCCGTGGGCATCATATTAAACAATTCCTCTGAGCATATTTCGTTGTAGAAGTGGTAGAACACAGAGTGAGGCAAAATCTCTCCTAAGACTTAAGGGTTCGATACCGCTTGTAAGCCTAGGATCATCGACAATTTTCATAGGTCATCGTTGCACCGAGTGGAAGGGTTCAAGCTGGTTATTAGGTGCTCCTGCCCCATAAGTGGCAGCAATACTCCATGTGAGGCCGGATTTGCGATTTATAGAGCATTAATCTCTGATCCGGCGTGAAATTATGCTTCGCTCTATTAAGCACTCCGAGTTTTTTGGATGCCAGCTTCACCTTATCTTAGAGGTGGCCATGGAACTTTACGTCATTAGAGATATCGATACTAAGGATCCCAATGCTTTTAGAGATGTTAAGAGACGTGCTCTGGAACTATGGAGCCACAGCAAATGGTTTTTTAGCGGTGAACGCGCAAGCTCATATCTTAGCGGGGTTAAACTGGACTAAGTTTTGTCGTCGCCAATCAGAAACTCCAGTTCACGTTCTCTCGATTTTAGATACAAGCTGTTCACAATTGTCCTCCACGATGGAACGAGGGACATTGGTACGACCCGTATAATGAGCATCCCTAGTGCTGTCATCTGCATGACAATGAATATCACCTAAGGATAAAAAAAAAATATCATTAATATGTAGCAGAAACAGCGTTGGAGATAGCACAGAGCCCTCAGAGAGTTTATTCCACAGCTTGAGGTTCACACACATACACATACATATATACATATATTACCTTTATTGACACAGTTAAAGCTGTGGGTTGCAATACACATGCATACAAAGCTAGAAAATCGATCAAAAATTAATCAAAGGTCAATATCATATAAAATATACGTGATAGGCATATTTTTTTATATAATGAGGTTCCGGCTTCGATTTTCGGTCGGCCTAATTTAGAAAACGAACATTACTGAATTCGCTCGATCTGCATATTCCGGGTCGTGCCGACAGATATTTGTTGCCTGATATCTTAAAACACAAGGTAACCTAGTTTGAGAGTCAGCTGATTGGTGTAATTACGTGGACTTATTATTATTATTATGTATTATATACTAAAAATAATATCAAAATTACAAGAGAACAACAGCAATAATTATAATTAGACCCACAGATGAATAACTAATTCTACAACTCTGATTCTACGTAATCATTAACAGTAATAATATACGTGTATCAAAAAGTATCAGTGCTTCTAAATAATGACATTGTTATCACTTCCTGCAATCATTACTGGGAAGTATGCCAGTGGGACGCAGAATGGGGATTTAGCAGGAATCGTTCCACAGGGACGGATCATTAGGGGTTTATACGCAATATTCTTGAGAGCCATTTTGTAAAATTACACAATCCAACGGTTGCAACCTCATTTGTAATAGTCATTGCGATTCAGAGAGATAGTAATGATTTTAATCAACTTAAAAAGTGTAAGTTTATTTATTTATTTATTCTTTTAATGTAATCAACATTACAAAAAAAATGTTTGGTACTAAAGGCTGACTTAATGCTATAGAGCATTCTGAACAATCAACCTAGTACGAAATTAATGTATTATTAATTATTAGGTTTTTATTATTATTTTTAATTTTATTTTTTGTGCATACATAACTTTTGTCACTTGTATGTGTATGTATATTTTAAATAATTTTTCATTGATTCGAAAATATTACTTTTGTTTAGTGTGTGTGTTTTTTTTTATCAAAAAAGTAGTTAAATTAGTACAAAACCCTTATGTTTCTAAATATTTTATAATAATTATTTACTTTTAGATATTTAATATTTTAATTACAAAATATGACAGGATAGTCTACTGATGTGCTAAGTATAGAAAAAAAAATAGATTTTAAAAATGTTTGTTAGTAATAATTAAACGACCTGATATTTATATTAAAAGTAAATGTACAAAAGTATGTAAATAAATTAACGATTAGACAAACTTGAATGAAATTTGAAATATTGACGTCTGTTATTTCCTAGATTAAGAGATATAATTTTTTAACTTATAGAGGGCAAATGGACATGCGATTCACTTGATGGTGACTACCGCCACCTATGGGCACCTGCTGCACTGAAAGAATTGCAGGTGTGCTGCTGACTTTATGAAGAGGAATATACTCTTTTCTTGAAGGTTTTTTTTAATGGATGATAATGGAATGGTAACCTCGATTGCGCTATATATATACGCTGGCGTGGCACCAGTGAGGAATGATAGATGAGAATAAAAAAAACAGGTCAGTTAACTCATCGTGATGAATACACCTGGAATTCAGCACGATGGTTTCTAGGAGGGGGGAGGGACCAAGTGGAGGTTGACCTGTCAGGGTGTATTGTTAGCAATGAGACTGGTAGTCCGCATTACTAACAATCCTTTCCCCCCTTTCTTGAAGGTTACGATGTCGTATCGTTTAGAAGTAAACTTTTGTATTAACTTACATAAGCAAAATCGCGATATACAACAGTTATAATAACAAAAAAATAATAATAATTAATATTTTGTTTCAGTGACTGGGTTTTCGGAGTCCGGTATTGTCAGCTGAGTAATTTCATCGCGAACGTGACGGTTGCGGCCAGTGTGTTCACACTGACGGGAATTTCCTTTGACAGGTAATAAATTACTCATTTTAAACTTATTAATACCTTGATTGAGTACATTCCGTCCTTATAAAGGGAGTGTGTAATAATAACTGATTAAATACTTTCTTGTATAGTTATAAATAAATAGCATATAAATAATAAAATATAGCAATAATAAATAATAAAATTTAAAAGTCGTTTGCTTAAGCACCTCTGATCCATTTGTGTTTCTACCGTGAAGCAGTTGTGTTTGCATGGCGGTGTTTCGGTTTGGAGGGTGGGATATGGCAGTGAATTTACAGAGTACAGAAGAAAAACACTTCAGTCCTCAGAAATGGCAATGCATGAGAGATATCATGGATGAAACAGTATACTCTGTTATGTCCATGGTACTGCTCATGTCTATAGACGACGGTTACCACTTTCCATCAGGTGGGCCGTTAGCTTGTTTGCCATTCTAAGTTGCATAAAAAAATACATTTTGTTACTGTTAAAGCCTTGCATATAAGTACAACTGTAACACTGTGCACACAGCAGTGCAAATTTTGGAAGAGAGGACGTTTTTTTTTCATGCAGTGATATTTTTTTTATTAAATCAGGCTACTACATATATTTTGTTCCTGATACTCAGTACTGTTGCAAACATTCACATAACTTTATTTATACTCGTATAACCTTCCGCTTACAAAGAAAGCTATGAGTAAAAAACAATAATACAAAAAACAATTCTTACGTATAAAAAACGGTTATAAGAAAGACTTCAGTTGGTATGTAGCTGTTGTTTGTCACAATAATTTATAGTCGTTTGCAAGATATTTTGTTTCTAGATAATATCAATAAAATAGTTGGAAGTATAACATCCAATCCAGTAACAGATCGTGACATCATAAAAAGATTGTCTCCAATTTACTTTACCTTATTTTCATTAAAAAAAACTTTGCAAGTAAAATTAACACTGGCCAATATTATAGAGATTTAGTTTAAATTTTTTTTTGTCCCTTTTACAAAAAAAAAAAATACAACATCAAGTTAACGGTGTATCAGTATTAGCTCATTTTTATTTCGTATCATTTTCTTTTTCAAACAATACATAATCTATCCAATTCTAAACAAAAATCTGGTACGAAGACTCATTTAGGAATAATCGTGAACTTTTTTTCTATCACTTTTTCAATAATTTAACTATTTATGTAATTTCAATATCTGTTTGTTATTTTTGTTAGAAGGAAATGGAAAATCATTAGCGTGTATGTTGATAGAGAACATCTCTTGCTGATGCAGCTAAAATGCACCGGCAAGAGGAAATTCTAAAAAATAAAAAAAATATATTGATACATTGTTCTTTAAACTTTTCGACATTAATAGGAAAATGTTCGTGCTGCAAACTCTGAGTTGACTTATTACAGAGTTATTTAAATAAAAACTCCCTTCAAGTACAGCTTTGTGCGATTTCTGTGGATTGGTTTATATGTACCTATTTCTGCCCCAAAGCAACATTTCTCTAATTAATGTAACAAGGTGGTTACAACTTCGCAATAAGGATATCGATGCAGTGGTGCGAAAGAACCAAATCAATAAAGTTAAAACCAATATTAAACGATACACACGAAAGTATAAAGTTATTTGTTTCAGTCGAATAATTTTCGTTTATTATATTTATTTTATTCTAATTAGTATTAAAAGAAAACTTTATATTTATCTTAGATTTAACATAAGTCTATACTCATTTTGTAAATAGTAAAATGTAATTTTATATGCGTGAGAGAATTTGTATTTTTTACAACTTGTAACTTAAATTGACAAATAATTTGATGGTTTACTTGATGGAAAGTGGTAACCGTCACCTATAGACATGAGCAGTATGATAAACATAATAGTGTATAATGTTTCGTCCATGATACTTCCCATGCGTTGCTATTCCTGAGGACTCAGGTGTTATTTCCTCTGTACACTGTAAATTCACTGCTATATCCTACCCTTCACACTGAAACACAGTCATGAAAATATAACTGCTTTAATTTAGAAACACGAATTAGATAGAGGTGCCCAATCAAACGACTTTTGTACAAGTCACCCTCTTATAAATTATTTATTTTATGATAAACTTATCAATAAATAGTAGCAGTAGTTATATAAGAAAAAACATCGAAAATTATAATTAAGTAATTTTAACGATGTTTAGTTTATGTTTGCACACTTATGAATTATCTAGACTATAACTAATTAAATTTTCATTAAGTATATGTGGTAGTTTTTAATTAGCTTATCGTTGTCATATATATTTAATTATTAAGTTATTATAGTTGCAAACTTTCCGCAAAAATAATAAATAAAATAAAATATATCACAGAAAAACTGTGTCATAAATTATAAGTCAACATAAAAGAAATCAAAGGAATAAAATCCCAATAAAATAATTTTCCTCAAAGTAATTCTTTCTACAGATATAGACTGTTTTTCTACGAACTTCTAATGTCATTTTAAAGGGATTTTATTTTCAATTATTACACTGTTTATGTATGATTTCTAAAGTAACTAGTTATATCATGATAAGAAATTCATACTTTCGGTCTAGATCTTTAGTTGAAAAAAATATATGGAACAAAAGTGCTAACTTTCACAAATTGCGCGCTGGGAAATTTCCAACGGCTGAATACAAGTAACCGCTGCCTCTGCCCAAGAGAATAGAACATATCAAGCTGCTAGATTAGAACCAGGCCAAACTTCTAACCTATATACAGACAGGTCGAAGTACCTTGAACTTTCGTTGTTGTATCATGTATGTGGCTTTGACCCGGAATATTTTGATTAAACAAGATCAATAATATAATGTATTATAATCGGTCGTACACACATCAACCATACTTAGAAAAGTATTATAAGATAACATATCCACATGTAATATAGTAAATTATCACATTCAAGACACAGTACGAGTAGTTATCAACCACAAAACCGCCAAAATATACCAGAATCATTCAACACAATTCATACATCGAACATACAACCATTTAAAAAATTCAGTAAACACTCAACAAAGGAGAGGACAAGGTAGGAGAAGGATAAAAAAAATATCAATAGGTTTAGATATAGCAAAATTGTTCCTGTGAATTAAAGAACAGGGTATATATTAAAGCCGACATAAGTCGAGAAGGCAAAAACCTAACTAATTTAATATAATGTGATATATGATTAATGATATGATATGTTATGATATCATCAGTATCATCATATTAGCCACCCACCACTGATGAACATAAGCCTTCCTTATAAGAGTAGTTTTGCCAGTGGTTGCCACGCTTGGCAAGCGGGTTGGCAACCGCATTTAGGCTTTTAATAATTGAATGAGTATACTTTATTTGCATAAGTATATAATATATACAATATAGGAAATAAGCAAGACAATAAATATAACGGTACTATTGTACAAGTATAGTAAGGCGGTTTGGGGAGAGAAGCGATTTTTAGTAATGGGAATTAGTAGCTACATTTCTAGCAATATACCCTGTCAGATAAACCTCCTCGTGGTTCTCTCTGGAAACCATGATTGATTTATTGTTAGATTCGTCACGGTGGGCTAACTGACCTGCTTCATCCTCACTTATCATCCCTCACTGGTGCCCCGCCAGCGTATACCGTTAGCGCAGGCGAAGTTACCATTCAGTTATTAATGTTTTGAGAGGGACGCTGGTGCTTATTCCTCTACCATTAAGTTCCCTTAGTTGTTTCTTACGACTCCCACAGGAATGGAAGGGGTGACCTATTCTATGCCGGGACCACACGACGGTATGATATAAATAGTGTCTCTCTTGATCCCACGTTACTATTTCTATACCAAAATTAAAAAAATTCGTTGAGCCATTAAGGCGCTATGACGAAACAAACAAATAAACTCACTTAAACATTTATAATATTAAGTAAGAACTTTACAATCAAAACCAGAGTGTTAAGTAACAAACAACAAAGGGACTGTTATTAATAGGGATCCTAGTTACCATTGATATCAATAAACCCTGACAGATCGACCCTCAAGCGGTCCCTCCCGGAAACCATTGTAGTTAAATAACCATCATGGTTTCTAGTAGGAGCACGTGAATGTTAATAGGAATTCCTAATAAATTTGTGTCAAAGCATCAGGCTGAACTAACTTCATTTGTATCCCTCTGTTATATACCATTAACACAGATGGGTGTACTGATCCATCTTTATCTACATAAATGTGCTTTTAAATTGTTAAATTTATGTCATGAATAGAATAGAAATGCTTAAAATTCTCCATATTTAGGATTCATGTCTAGACTCATTTCTAGAATAAACTCTACATGAATCTATATAAATAAAAATGAATTTGCCGAAAGTATGCATGTTTATCACTTCAGAACGGTTGCACCTATTTGAATAATTCATTTTTTGTTGTGTTTGTAATTATTACGTTAATTTTTGCATGAAAGAAAATACGTTCGGAAAAACGACTTTTGGGTTAAAAAATCTCCATATAACAAATAAGGGTGGTATTGTAAAGGGAAAGTTAGATCTCATTTTATTCATTAGTACATCCGTGCGAAGTCTGTTCGGGTAACTAGTTTATAATAAAAAATATTGAAGCGTATATTATCTGAGAATTAAATTAATAACATAAAGAAAAACTAAGCCACAAGTTTCTGGTCGTTATTAAGTATATTACTTTTAATATTATATCCGACAGATGTTTATCTTTTTTATGTATAGATAGAAAATAATAAAATGTAAAATGATTTGTTTAGGTAAAATTATAAATCCAAATATCCAAAGAGCAAGATTTCAATTATTTCTGCTATACCTACAAGTATAGAGGAAAGGGAGACTTTATACAAAAATCGTTTACTTGGGCACCTTGGTTTTAGTGATGTTTTAAGAGACACTGCTCATTCCTCGCCTTCCCTTAGTCGACACTTACAACACCCACAAGATTGATACACCCAAGGGATGGCTTAAATTATGCCGGGATCACACGGCCAACTTACTAGACTTAGACTTAGTGCCTTAGAATCAGTTTGTTTTTGTAAAACACAGTTCTGAACTATTCATTGTTATATCAGTTATTCGGTTCAATGGTGAACATAGGACTCTCCTAGACTTAAACCATCATAGAGATCGATTCCGAGTCATTTGCATGCATTGACATAAATAAGAAGGTTTTCAAATCGGTTTATTTATTTTTTGTTTATTACCTCATAACTCCATTAGTTGTAAACCAATTTGGATTTTTTTAAAGATATACTTACAGATTGGTTTCAATGAAATTTTATCAAAATTAGTTCAGTAGTTTAGTTTTTAAATTAAAATAACTGTTTCTGCTATATTTAAAGACGGTTTTTTTATGAAACTTAGAATGGCAAACGAGCTGATGGCCTACCTGATGGAAAGTGGTAACCATCGCCTATAGACATGAGTAAGAACCATGGACATAACAGAGTTATACTGTTTCGCCCATAATACCCCCCATGCGTTGCCATTCCTGAGGACTCAGGTGTTATTCCTCTGTACCCTGTAAAATCACGCCACATCCCATCCCTCAAACCGAAACACAGCTAAGTAGACACAACTGCTTTACGGTTGAAACATGGATAGGACAGAGATACCCAAGCAAGCGACTTTTGTACAAAGTCTCCCTCTGGTTTTTTAAAGAACGTAATTTAATTCTATCGTATCAATTCTAAGTCAACGGGAATTTGACTAGTACAATTTATGTATAACACGCGGTCTTATCTCTGTAGCAATCTTTTTTAAATTGAGCCATCATCCAAATCCCTAATAGCCTTGACCTCGGTTCATTGGTGGAGCTTACGCTCGAGGATGCAATTCATGCTGTGTGTGCCTGATTGAATATTTTATTACGAATTTTGGTTAAAAATCTTTGAGTTGGCGTTGGAAATTTTGTAAATTGTTGGAGAAATGTTTGGAGAAAAATGATATTACTGTAGAGGAATTTCGCTTTTTGTAAAGTATGTAGTGTAGAAGTGTAATTAAGTTGAAGAGGCAACTAAGGGAACTAAATGATTGACGGACGGGCAGTAGCGTCCCTCTTGGAACATTATCAGGGTTTAACTGCGGTTGTCAATCCGCTTGCCAAAAATGGCAACTACGACACAGAAAATAGGTAACGGTAATTTAGTTCTACCTGTAGTAGTTACAGTAAAATTTTGATTGCCTAATAGGGAAGAAATTATATAAATTAAACATAAAAAAAGTTAAGTAAAAATAAAAAATCGTATCGAACCCCAAAGTGAAAGAATGTCATTGATTTGTCAAGTTTTTTTTTCTATAATATGTTCATTGATTTCTTTGACATACATAAGCCGATTTATATGAATGTTTTTTTTTTATTTTACTACAAAGACCTATATGGTTGTGAATGTATTATTACACTTGTATTCGAATTTGTGAATGAAAATGTGAGGATTTATTTACAAATACATAAATGCTTCAATCATTGATCTGCATCTTTAATTTATTTAAATGGTATTTATTTAAATGAGATACTCAACAATTTACTAATTGCAAATTTTTATTAAAATATTATTAAAATATATATGTATTATCACATACTACAAAAATACAAATTATTCCATTTTTTTATGCAACTTAAAATGACAAACAAGCTAACGACTCATCTGACGGAAAGTGGTAACCGTCGCCTATAGACATAAACAGAACCATGGAACAGAGTATACCGTTTCGCCTATGATACCCCCCAGGCGTCGTCATTCCTGAGCACTAAGGTGTTATGCGTCTGTACTCTGTAAATTTACTACCATATTTCATCCTTTAAACCGAAAGCACATGCACAGCCATGCAAATATCACTAGCAGTTAAAACGCGAATGGGACAAAGGTACCCAAGCAAATGATAATTATAGTTGTGTAATTAAAAACATTTCAAAGTGGACCAACTTTAAACCCACAATTTTTACGTTACGTAGGCTAGTGCTTATAATAGCTGAGCTATCACTTTACTAGACTTCCGTCTAGATTTTTTTAATTACGCAGTAATTATTTTTTTAATATATTTAAATAATATTTTTATTTAACTAGCTTTTATTTGAAAATTAAGTGTATTTAAATGATTTTATTTATATTTAAATTATTATGAAAAATGTTTATATATATATATATAAATTTATATTAGACTTTATCTCAGAAAAATATATTTTAGTGGATTTTATTATAATACAAACAAAAATTTATATAAAAAACTGTAATAACCTACAGTGCACACACAAACTAATAAGAATACGCGTATTTATTCACAAGTAAAATGATAGAAAGCAAGAAACTCACAGAATAACGAGATGAATTTTGCCGCAATCATATCTTATAGCGTTCGACATACGAGTACAAGAAATACTGTCTTACAAGAAAAAAGTTTAACTTACGCTAGATAGATGTACAATACATGTTTAGGCGATTTACAACAAAAATGTGTCTAGCACCAGTTTATATCTAAACAAAAGAAAGTTTGTCTTATTGAAAATAAAAGGTAAAGTATTAAATTTTGTTACAAAGTTTTAGGTTTTGACACTTGAAATAACAAATAAACATTATATCGACTAAACAATGTTGAATTATATAAGAAAGAGTTAAGGAACCTTGTTTAGATAAACAGTGTTTTAAATGATTTTTTTGTAATAAGACGGTAAAAGGTTTTTTTTGAGGTAGTAGGGTTTGTATTTTTTTTAAATTAGAATAAGTGCAGCGATAAGACGTCAACACTAAGTAATAACCAATATTTTTTAAATATACGTATATATATATACAAGTGTATATATGTACCGTGGAAAAACCACGCTTGTTCACTGCATTGTTATGCTCTGCACGTTTATAATATTATCGGAACAGAAAATTAACGTGTCTCTATATAATTCCATACAATACGCTCTCTTACTATATCGTAATGATATGATCATATGATATCGACAGATATCGATAAATGTATATACAAAATAAATACCTTAGTAATTGATTTACTATAAGCGTGTACTTTTAAGGAGACATTTGCCTCTGAATATGTTTTTCGTATCTATAAATGTTGACTTTAGCTGAGACTTCAAAATATAAAGTCATTCGCTTCCTCATTATCTTTATGGTCACTGATCATCATTATTATTTTTCCTCGTGAAATTCTCCTCGAGTTTGGGACTCTTTGGTAATATTATTAGATAAGAGGTTATATATTACAGATTATACCTGAAAGAAACGTACGTAGTTGAAGCGTATTTAAAAAGGGGTTTACTATATAATCTTAAATTTTTAACTAAGCAAAGAGAGCTAATTGTCATTTTATTTTAATTATATAAAATTATATAAATTTATTATAAAAAAAAACAATACCTTTGTAAGTAAAAATAATAAGTCATAAATACTGGCTAAATAATGTTTAGGTATACAATTTATAGCTGACAAGTTTGTTTCTTTAAATGTGTAAAGAAGTTCTTCAATTAAGACTATTTTATTCTTATGTATACAGATATCAAGCCATCGTGAGACCGATGCGACCGCGGATGTCCAAGACTTGTTCCCTCATCATGATTGCTGCGATATGGATTAGTGGAATGCTGCTAGCAATTCCCTGCCTTCTATATTCTACCACTAAGGAATATAGGTAAATATATATATTTTATTATAATTTCAATCATTAATTATTAACTGCTGAATATAAGCCTTCCCTATAAACGGCCATAAACGATGTTCCTGAGCCACTCTCATCTATTGTTCCATGCTACATTTGACTACATAATGATACATTTTTTGTTCAAGAAACTGACTTCTCTTCTAATAATATTACCGTTCCTTGCCACATTTGACTACATAATGATACATTTTTTGTTCAAGAAACTGACTTCTCTCCTAATAATATTGATATGAGACTATCAAGGTAAATTCATCCATGCCCATGGTACTGCTCATGTTTATAGGTGACGGTTACCACTTTCCATCAGATGGATCGTCAGCTTGTTTGCCATTCTAAGTTGTATAAAAAATCCATTATCAAATTCATCATAAATATAATTCTTGAATTCTTTTTGAAGTCGGTTGAAAACAGATAGGTCTCTAACAAAGAAACTTGATGAAAATCTTGTGAGAAATTGTAAGGACTATCTTTTCAACATCCGTCCGCATTAAAATGAAGGTATTGTACGGATAGTCTGGAAAAGCAAAATCTATTAAACTATTATCCCAGTTGAAGCTGGAACATAAATTAGTTTCTAACAATTATCCTCGCCCGAGCTGAGATCTGCAAAACCTATGTGAGTCGACTAACAAGAGGTCTTGATCTAATAGCAGTGTCTAAATCTTTGTTGGTCTTAGTGAAACTTTGTACCATTATACTCGTAATTGTAGTCTTGCAGTATTGTGTGGTATAAGGACGCTCATGTCGGTTTCAGTTTGTACAAAATGACTTTGTTTCATGATTTTGTATAAGTCGTTTGCTTGGGCACCTCTGTCCCATTCGTGTTTCTACCATGAATCTATTGTTTGCATGGCTGCGTTTCGGTTAGAAGGGTAGGATATGACAGTGAATTTACAGTGTACAGAGGAATAACACGTGAGTGCTCAGGAATGGTAACGCATAGGAGGTATTATGTCCATGGTACTGTTCATGTTTATAGGCGATGGCTACCAATTTCCATCAGGTCAGCTTGTTTGCTATTCTAAGTTGCATAAAAAAGAAGTATAAACTTCTTTTTTACTTGTTTCTTTTTTCTTTTTCTTCTTTTTTATCAGTAGGTATGTTGTTTAGATATAAAAAAAATATCAGTATATCGCTGAATAATAAAATAGTTTATCTGTTGTATTAGGTCGGAGTAAACGGATTGCTTTAAATTTGAAAATGCAGTATAAACCTACCTGCCTTGTAAATTCTTAATTGCAATTCAATATATATATATATATATATATATATATATATTTGTGTGATTAGAGATATTAATTATAATTATATGGCTCAGTTTTACTGATTGTATTGATTTGTGCTTCAAATGTTTTAAAAGAAAACAAAAATTAATCAAATGTAAAGAGAGCTCAGGCTCTGAAAGTTCAATAACGTCGCAAGATTTATTTACTTATTTATAATGACCAATTAAGAGAGCTTGACAGTTTTCCAATTCGCTACCTTAGAAATCACAACATATACAAACATAATAACATTTAATTATTGAACACTTTCTAAATAATTTATTGCCTTTCTGCGAAATACGACAAGTTTACGAGTAAATATATCCAAGTCCGGATACTGGCTCGTGACCCCGTTGAGCAGAGTCAATGCCAGTGGAATAGCAGCCTATTTTGGTAGCTCTATTCTTCCCAACGGATCATGGAAAAAGTCCCTTCGACGTGCTCGAGCGTAATTAGAAGGCGCTCGAATAAATAAGATAAATTTAAACATAGAAAATCTTTTTAAAATAAACTTTTGCTAGTTAAAGTAATTAATGTATATATATGCGAATGTATGATTTCATATTTTTGAAATTAATATTGTCGTTTTACGATGAATGATAATTTAAGTATGTAATGAGTATAATATATCACAGACATAGTATAATTGCCGTTTGGTCTCGGCATAGAATGGCCCATCCATTCCTATCCCGTGGGTGTTGTAACTGACGACTAAGGAAACCTAATAGTTGAGGGATGAGCAGCATTGTCCTTCTTGCCTGCCAAATGTGGCAACTACTAATAAAACCCCCTTTATGGGGTAGCCTTATGTTCTGTAGTGAATAGTTAACGGCTGATATGATGATGATGATGATGATATAGCATAAGTATATCATCATCACCATATCAGACTTTAAATGTCCACTGCTGAATATAAGCCTCTCCCTTGGGGGGGTTTTGCCAGTAGTTGCCATGCCTGGCAGGCAGATTGAAAATCGCAGTTAGGCTTTGGAGATGTTTTAAGAGGAACGCTGCTACCCATCCCTCGCCCTCCCATAGTCGGCTCTTACGATGCCCACGGGAAAGGAAGAGATTGCTTGTTCTATGCCAGGACCACACGGCTATAGCATAAGTATATATCACGTTGTAATTGTACGTTAAGAAGCGACGACCTTAAATATGTTGTATGGAGTCAGTGGATGCAGACGGCTCAGGACCGTTCCTTATGGCAGTCTATGCGGGAGAACTATATCTAGCTATAGTTAAATAACTGCCGAAATGAATATTATTATGACATAAGTAGTTAACAATGTCATTATCATTGGTATTCTTTATTCTTTATTCTTTATTGTACACAAAACATACTGGTAATTACAATTCATTATAAACATAATGTACAAAGGCGAGCTTATCTCTAATAAGAGATTTCTTCCAGCAAAACCTTTCCATGTTAATGTGTTATTTTATAAATAAAAATAGGCAGTCATACGATCTGCATATATTGCATAAACGCATAAGTTATGTATACACAAAGAATAATATTATTCTTTTACGCGACTCTTGGAAACTACTCCTCTAGTTTTAATAAAATTTTGTAATTGTATCCGGATAGGTGTTGTTACTGTTAAGATATTTTACTCATGCGAAGTTTTGGCAGGTTGTTGTTGTTAGTTGTAATATTTTCACAATAGTATTGAACGAGAAATATTCTATCAATTTGACATTGTTTTCCCTAATCAAGGTTGTCTGAGCGCCTATAAATGAAAAAATATAAGCGATAATACCAACCGTTGCTACTTCTTTTGTTTATATTGTAATTTTTAATTTTTTTTTTTGTATGTTTTCGTTGAGGTAAGCAATTGTTTCGTATTCTATTGTATAAAGAATTGCCTAAGCATTTGACAGTTAAGTAAATTGTCTAATGGTTATTATTGTTTTTTGTTTCTTTAAAAAAAATATAATTTGAAATTTTATTCTACAACAAAACATTAACTTTAATCGTGACAATATTTCAGATATACCTCTTGGGAATTAAAGTAAATTATAAGAATAGTTACATCTGTAAAAATCAAAATCTTTAGAGAGAAAATTTGAGTAAGTAATCGAAACAAGCCAGAAACAGCCCATGTAGCAATATGTATAACTAGCAGATGCCCGCGACTTTGTCCGTGTGGAATTTGTTATTCCTGTTTAGTATGTATCGATGTATGTGCCTACCTATTTATTATGTCTAGGAATACTGGACTAAAATTAACAAATGACGTGTCGTTCTCTCTCTTTGGCTTAGGTTAAAATGACTTTACTTCAGTAGGTTTTGTACTAAGCTATATAAGTTACTATAGTTTTTTAACTATCTCACATTTAATTTTAATCATGGAAAATTAAATAGTTCCTCTTTAATTTTTCGTGATTAAAACTATCTAAAATGTTGACCAGGAATGTAAGATACCACCATACAAAATTTTATTTAAATCGGTCCAACAGTTTCGGAAATTAGTCCGTACAAACAGACGAGAGAAACAAAAAATTTGAAAAAATCCGGATGTATTCTATTTAATTTCTAACATCCGCCTGATTCCGTTGTTAGCATTTTTTTTTAAGTACTGCCATTCAGCCTCTACAGTTTTGTTATATGTATACATAAATAGATATAGAAGACAATATTTTGTTTTATAAAATGACTTCTAACCTGTTTCACTAGAATTAAATATAAAGGCAATGGAAATAAATATAATGTGGCATGAGACGATAATGTTTACAGAGTAATATGTATCAATATTATATTACATTATGATATTTTTTCTACTTAAAAATATATGACAATTCACCGTAATTTGTGTTCACGCCCGTAACGAGAATTTATATCGAAAATAAATTTGACGTTAAGGTATTTAATAAAATTCCAAAAGACAAAAGGATGAAACAAAATAATATCTATATTTTACGTAATATACCGATAAGTATCCATTTATCGAATGCTTACATTATATTATATACCATGGGGATAATATGTGTTGAGTTTAATGGGAGTAATGACGTTATTTTAAATTTTAAATTCACGATCAGGTCTTAATGTGACGTGATTACATATAAATATTTAGTACCTACAGAACTGATTTTTATTGCATATGATTCGACATGGATACTGTATTATATAGTGATAATGTGAGGGTAGTTGAAAAAACTGCAGACTGCTTAACGAAGATATCGTTCAATGCAATCCTGCTGAGACCACGACGTCGAAACGTCAGCAATAAAAATCATGTATGTAGATATTATTAATGATTAATATTTTAATTTAATTTTTGTTTTCCATAATGCAGATAAATTTTATACATTTTTCATAAACATTACAATATTAAAGACTGTAACGACTGAATAATTACTACTCAAATTCATCGACCGCAATAAACGAAAGTTAGTTTGAACCAACAACAATTAAAATTTCCGACTGACTCTTTAATAACTGAAAACACTGTGATAACAAACCAAAACTCTATGTTTATGTATGTATGTAAATTATGTAAATTAGTACTATTTTGGGGACTTCTATATTATTGATTAGTTAATTAAAATAATTTAACAAAAATAATTTAGATATAAAACAAAATCAATTAATTAGTATTTAGTAGTAAACAATGATAAAACTGGTTTAAAGTTGCCTGTGTAATACCTATATTTTTATACATAGCAGATAATGCAGTGGGTGGAACAATATACTATTTCAATGTTTTATTCTGTCATTATGCTAGCATGAAAAGAACGTGTAACAAAACATGTGAATAAGTACCTACTTATTATTCATCACTCATAAAATTCAATTTTCCGATTTCAACAAGCTTATAGAACAGCGTCTATTCTGTAATAAAAGGAAATTGCATTGATACAGATTGAAAGCTCCATTTTTGTCGTAAATTTGATTTACAATTTGTATTTCTCAACCATATCTCAAAACACCTTGCGCCTATAGTCTAAGAATGCGCTGTTAATTTCTGCAAGTATAAAATTGTTTAGTAAAACTGTTTAAATTCAGGGTAAGCAGAGATGATAAAAAACTATAACACAATGCACCCGGTTTGCTTGCAATCAGGTTATCGTTGCTTAGGGTAGCTAGTATATAACGTACATCATTATAGCAATAATAATGTTCTAAGGTTCTCTTTTATCCGTAGCTTTTAAACAAAACTTAATATATTCATTATACGATTTCATCCATCATTTAAAATATTAATTACTGGCTATATCCTACTATTTAGTTCGCGTATATCAGTACATAAAGTGTTCTGTATGCTAAGCTAGGATATAGCCTGCCTGTGTACATATGTAATTCGTTTAAATTATATTAAATAATTACATTCAAAATCGTTGATGATGACGTCGTCCTTTTATTCCTCACCAGAGACATAAAGCTTCCACAAGATGTTTACATTTTCAATGATCTCTAGCTACAATTTCTTTTCAGCTAAGACAGGTTGATGGAGCCTTATTTTCAGTTGATCGCTTCCACTTTGTTCAAAGACAGCTGGATCTTCTCAAGCCATTTAAAACTTTGCTTGGATATATGATTGTATTTAAAAATACAAATAACAATCTTTTATTTCAAATACAAAAGTCCATATTGTGTAGTTATTCTAGTAAACATTTTACTCCCAACCATCAACCACTGGGATCATTTTAATATTAGGGTAAGGAAGTTTATTCTTCAAGTTAGAGCAAATAACACACACTTCAAAATCTCATTAACATTGGTTAAGCAGGTTTGGAGATTTGCGTAGATGAATATCATGGTACAAGATGTTTAGATATTAAGATGTTATTTGTTGTTTTTGGTAATTTGTTATTATTTTTAATATAATATTAATAATAATTGATTCGTATTTTTTTATCCTAAAGGTGCGAACATTACACCAACTCATAATATATAATAGAAGTTAAAAATAGTTATGGCAAATAATCTGAAAATATATTTTCCTCATCGGTTGTCGGTTCCTCGAGTTATGTCCGGCCCCTTGTCACATTATATTGTTTATTCTTCGAGCTATGTCGGTCACTACGGGTCTTCTACGGATATCTTCATTTCCGGTACCCGTGTGCGTATAAAAACTTGGAAATGCTGCCTATTCATCCTTGTCGTAAAGATCACTTTATTACTTTTAGTCATCCGAATTCTGATCAGGTACAGCACTTCGTAACACCTATGTCATTTTCCGGATACTATCTTTATCTCATTTGGATTCCGTAAGAATACGATTCATCATAACATTATTACCGTGCCTCGGTATTATTATGTATACTCGTGTACCTATTTATTTCTTTATTAAGTTACTTTCAAAAAGAATTTCTTTGGTTTTGTTGCCAGTACGTTGTGCAATTGCTTTGACAATTCTGAACGAATTTTAACTGTAGCTTAGAACGCATATTTATTTTATGATAATTGAAGCAGCCGTTTTTATTATTGAAACAAAAAACAATTTGCTTCGTAACAAGCAGTTACGAAGCAAATCATATTTGTGGACATTTGAATTAAGAACGAGGAAAAAATCGTTCTAAATTCGTTTTAAAAACGTTTTAAATACGAGTATAATGCGTCTACGTAAACGTTGTTTGTATGTATATACATATAAGTTGAAATAAGAGTTGCATTTTATTTAGTACAATTCCTTTGTTCGCAGATCTAAAGGCACGCTCAAGACAGCTTGCCTTTTATCATGGCCTGATGGTCTTCCAGACGTCTCTTACATGGACTTTGTGTGAGTATTTTAAATTATTTATTATATATTATATTGTAGTATATATAATAATAGTTTTTAATCTGTGTGGATTTATTTATTAGATTTATATAGAAGACAAAACGAGCCTTTATCTTATTATTTTATATTTCTAAAGTGAGTGTTATTTTGAAAAAGTCAAAATAATACCTAATTCTATTAGATTAAAAAATTATAATAAGTACATTTTGATCTGCAAATAAAAAAAAATACACGATATCTCTGGCAAAAAATTTAACTATTTAAAAAAATATAACCACTGTTACTCCGGATGATGTATGGATTCTAACGATATCCCATACATCCAAATTTGTTCAAGGACATCCAAATTTGTACATGGAATAAACAAACGCCTATACATAAAATCTGAATACACTATATTTCTTTTTTGGGTAGTGGTGCAAAGAGTAAAAAAAAAAACTTATTTTTCTAAGCTACTATATGATTCCCATGGCAGTAATATTATACTTGTATTTATGATATTTTCTTTGATACAAGTGATCTTCCCGGCTTCACACGTGTATCTACACTTAATAAAAACAAAAATACTAATTTATCTTTCTATCTAGATAGATAGAAAGATAAATTAGTATTTTTGTTTTATTACTTTTAATAGGAAAATTTTTTATACTTTTTGTTACATTATTGTAATTTTCACAGATATCTCTATTTTACTCGATAACAATATATATCCTATATCACTCATTGATAATATAGCTTTCTATAGGTTTTGTCTCTATCTTGTTATCTGCAATTGGCTCTTCCATAACAGCCATAATCAGATAGTGTCATGTGTGAAAATTAGCGTTTTGAGGAGCAGTCCACTGACAGCTCTCTCAGAATGATTTTGTAAGATCTTCAGACTATAGTCTCAAGGTTCAATACAAGCCATCGTCTCAGTCTTGTAGATTGTTGTGCTGTGAATAGTTCTCCAGCCAGGTCATTCGTATGATTTATAAGGCGCTGTTTATATTTTTTGCTGTTCATCCTTATCTCTTCTTTAACAGTATTGATTTGCATATAGTTATGCATCTCCTCATTTCTAACAAATCATGGGGATTGAGTAATGTTTCTTAAAGTTATTTCTATAGGTGGAAGAATTTTTAAAAATGGTTAAGTAACTTTTGAGTTTATCCATTACAAATAATCAAATTTTCCTCTTTATTACATTACTATAGATTCACGTTATGTTTGAAGATGTAAACGAAACAGTAATCTGCCATTTTGTAGCGGTCGCCATTTTGAATATGCCTTAAAATGGAATACACTATATTGTATAGACTTCAGAAACAAAGCTGTTTGTAAAGTTTCAGCATGATTGAATATTGCTATAGACAAGCGGGGAAAATAGGATCAATGAAAGCTTTAGAATTTTCTTATATTTATGCTTTGAAAATACGAATTTCATATGTCAATAAGAGTGTAACAAATGCTCGTGAAATGAAACGTTTGTTTTCTGTCGTACGTTACAGTTATCAAAAGTTTGATGAGATTCCAAGTCTAAAAATATCAGATTTTACATGAGTTGTTACATATTGGTTTTAAAAGGCAATATGTCTTTTACATTTCTCACATTTGAAATTGTTTTATTTCCATACATATATATATATATATATATATATATATATATATATATATATATATATATATATATATATATATATATATATATATATATATATATATATATATGTACACCTTATATGTTAAACCCTATAAATATAAATACTTTTTTCTTCGACTTTTTAAGGTTGATTAGAAGAAATCTCTTTTAAGAATAAGCCCGCCCGTGTACTTTTTGGTATACTTTAATATCTATATTATAAATGAATGTGCAAAACTGTATAAATAAATTAATAAATAAAGATATGATAATTATCATCATCATATCAGCCGTTTACTGTCCACAGCTGAACATAGGATTCCCACTTGGGGGTGTTTTGCTAATAGTGTCACGCTTGGCAGGCGAGTTGGCAATCGCAGTTATTCTTTGGTGGTGTTGTAAAAGGGACGCTGCTGTCCATCCCTCGATCATTAAATTCCCTTAGTCATCTATTACGACATCCACGGGAAAGGAAAGGGTGGTCTATTCTATGTCAGGACTACATGGTGGAAATATTTCATATATCTATTATATATATAACAGAATTGAAAATCTCATTTTTTTAAAGTCTATTAAAAAAAGAATCCATTTCACCATTTTTAATATTGATGTACAAATGACAGAAAATATAAATTCTTAAAATTCATTTCGAATCCATTTTCTATTTTTGGCTCCCTTTGTTCATTTCCGCGAAAAAATTCAATATATACACTTTTCGACTTTTATGAATTTCGTGGCATTATAAAAAGGTGATGTTATTAATAATGGGGTCAAACAGCTCTCTTGCTAGCAATATTAGGTTGATCTCTATGCGGTTCTCCCTAAACAATCGTTGTGACTAATTCTTGCGGAATTCATAACGATGGGCTAAATGACTTACTTTCATCCTCACCTGTCATCTCTCACTATCGCCTCACTAGTATATGCTGATAGCACAGGCATTACAATAGGATAACTGATCTGTTTTCATCCTTATCCATCATCTCCTATTGATGTCAGGCAGTGTTACCATTCCATTTATGCCCATAAAAAAACTGTCATGTACAGACATGAATAGTGCTACGGATGTTGTAAAATATACCATGATTTACTTGTTATGTCTCATGCATTAACATTCTTGAGGACTGCGACAATTTGCCTCCGTACCTTACAATTTCACTGCCATACTCCAATGTAATTTAGAATAGACCTCAGGCCCTTATAACAATCGTCTCCCCTCTTTTACCTGGTACCAAATGCGCCCATAAAACCTTACTAACGGCCTAAGGGTCTAACCATAAAAAATATAAATATTACAACGACCAGAGTAAGTGCGTAATAAGTTATCGGTATCAGTGTGGATATCTACCATGAAATTTGTCCTGGATTTATTAGGCGCATAATACTGGAACGTAAAAGAAAAATCTATCTATCCATTTAAGAGCTGCGCTCTTGTCGGTGGAGCTCTTGCCACTCACAAAAGAAAAATAGCTATTACAAATTTCTTTGAATTAAATATAGGTGCCTGAATACTGTTCCATTTTTAACTGTTGAAAGTTTGTCGTGTTGAAGCTATTTTAAGTCTCAATACATATATACACATAAATTAATAACAAAATTAGCAGAGGTGAACTTATCTCTTAAAAAGATTTCTTCCAGTCAACCTAACACAGTGATATAGGAAGTGGGCAGAGAGTGCTAAACAGAAACTAAAATAAATATTTACATATATATATATATATATATATATATATATATATATATATATATATATATATATATATATATATATATATATATTGTTAATAAAAACACACACATAGAATGGGCCACCCCTTCCTTTACCGTAAGTGTTGTAAGAAGCAACTAAGGGAGCTTAATGTTCAAGGGATTGATAGTAGCGTCCTTCTTAATACGTCACCAAAACCTCACTGCGGTTGCCAATCCATCTGCCAGGCGTTGCAACTACTGGCAAAACCCCCCGATTGGGGGAGGCCTATGTTCAGCGGTGGACAGTTAATGACTAATATGATGATATGATGACATCTCCACTAATATTTTGGGACCAAATAAAACAATATTGATGATAAAATAGCTAAATATATAAATAAGCTTATTAATTCCAGTTAATGAATAATTAAATATCGTCGTTTACGAGCCCAATTTGTATATTTTGGCGTAAAAAGTTTATAAAGAATGGATGGATAAATGGATAGATGTTTGTTATTCTTTCACACAACAACTGCTGTACGTATTTAAATGACGTTTGGTACCTGGGTAGGTTATATTCTAACTTTAGATTATATAGATAGAGCATCGAGCCTCAAAAATGGGTCAACTTGTTGTCAGTTAATTGTCAAATTAGCTGATTGGTTTTTTTATGAGTGTTCTATATATTTACGCATAAAATGTATTGTGACGTATTATTTAATAAATAAAATGAGTGTTTACACATTAAAAATGCAGAAATTATAAAACAAAATAAATACAGGAGTTATAAAAGAATCACATAACTATTTATCATGCAAAATTTGTATGAAAAAGTTGACCCGTTTTTTTCTCGAAGCTTTTTTATAGAGACTCTATCTATATGATTTCAGATCTTAACTTAGTATATAAGATACTTTATGTATCGATTCACGTGAGGGAAACCGTATGATATAGTTAGTAAATGAATACACGTAAAACTCTTTATTTTTCCCCTCAAAAAGAGACAATTATATAAAATATGCAGAAAAAAATCAGCACTACAAGAAGCAAAATAAAAAGGCAGCAAAAGGTGGCCTTATTGCTAAATAAAAATATCTTTCAGCCAACCTTAATATGGAGAGGAATAATTAAAATAAATAATTAAACAAGGTAAGGTGTATTAGAGAGTTTCGCACGCACGGAACGTTTACGTTTACTAATGAAAGTTGGGTTTGAAATTGAAGCTCTGGCATTATGTTTCATAGTAAAACCCCTGAAGTGTTACAATGCAGATGAGCGAAGGTCTCGTGCGCTCTACCTATATTATGTTTGAGAATTTTTGATTGTGAAGGTCGAAAAGTGTGCAAGTGGAATGTTGTTACGATATTTAAGTATTAATAATAACAATGAGTCCTCCACAATTACTTCAGTCGCCTGATTCCTAAACATAGATACCTGTGTTATGAGGAACTACACAGTGAAATTATGGTGACTTACTGAATAATACTGAATAATTAATTGATATTCTAATATTTACAGTCGAAATAAATCAGTAAAATTTATTCCCTAAATTGGTCTGCTCTAGAATAAAACCTGGAACCTCAAAGCAACATGCCTATCACTTTGTTTCTATATTATCAAGTAAAGGAAGTTATAGATACAAGAACGTAATGCATTCGTCATATTTAAATTAACATTTATAAATGTTATT